GGAATAGGTTTGAGATCTGCTTCGAAAAAGCCACCATTGTGCTCTTTTGTCAGTTTGTAGAACGATGGGACTAATCTCTCAGTTGCTTCATCAACCTGAAAAGGAGATATTTGACAATGAATTGGATACACAAAAAAAAGAAGAGAAAAAATGACTTACCGTCATAGTTGCTTGTTTTCCACCTATGGCCGTTTCTACCCATCCAGGATTGAAGTTCGCTACGAGAATGCGATCCTTCTCCAAATCCACGGCCAAAGTTCTCATCAAGGCATTCAAAGCGGCCTAAAAGTTCTTTTTATTCACGAAGGATTTGCTCAAAAAGCTTGCCAAACTAACTTTACTTATTCTGTAGGCTAGCAATCCTGGATTACCGGAGCCTGCTGTGTTTTCAGAAATAGAACCAATGCTTGCGGAGATGCTCAGAATCGCAGCTCGGTCAATCGAGAACTCGTCCGATTGGGATTGTTTAGCAGCTTTACGTATCAGCGGAAGGAGCGTCTAAGCTTATAATTTGGTTACTTATGGCTGCAGTAGATTACGATTACCTTACCTGGGTAAGTACGGCAACACTGGCTGCATTAGTGTCAAAGTTTTTGATAAGAGCGCCACGGTCTGGCTTCTGATTTGTAGTATAACTGACGAATATTCCAGCATTGTTCAGCAAAACATTGAGACCATGATCTCCAACGATTTTTTCCACCTGAAAGATGGGGCTTTCAGAGCACTAGACCAATATGTTTTTGAAAAATTTTGTATAAAAATTACTATAGGGATGCGAAAGCCAGACTTGATCTTCACTTGTGATGCTCTTCAATATGTATATTCGACATTACTATGGGGATAAAGTTCAGATTCTTAAAAGAATGATAGAATGCCCAGCATTTCAAGATTGTTGATTTCATAATGCAAAAAAATGACAAAGGAAATTTCAGAGAAAAATCGCAGCTGTATGATGCCATGATTGTTTTTTTTTTTGGAAACGTGAATGCTATTTCCCCCTTAGATCATTTGTCCACAAAAAAGTGACATTTCACTATCAAGACCTTACCTGAGGATACATATTCTTTATGGAATTGTCACATGACAGGTCCAATTCAACCACTTTTAGTCTTTTGTCAGAGATCTCTTTCAGGCCCTAAACTGATGAAATCTCATGAAGTCGATTAAGAGCAAGAAATTCAAATTGGAAAAAGTATGGATAAGATAAAAGATTGACTCAAAGACATTTATTTATATCAAATGGTAGATAGTGTGAAAGTTTGTTGGAAGCATAAATTGAAAAAAAAAATTGCTGAAATAAGCAACTCAAAAGGGGAATTGAATGAGAAACTAGCAGATCATAAACAATAGTCCTTCAAAATCTTTTATAGCCCCACTGCACTTCCTATGATATAGTAAGACTGAGAAAACCCGCCAAACAGTAGAATATCATAAACTTACCTCTTGGCTGTCGGGAGTTTGGTTTTCCTAAAAAAGGGCATAACTGGAATTTATTCCATTCCAAATGTGGTTCGTTACTTACTTTATCTGTCGATTCTTTCGTAGTAGCAATGACGTGCTTGATATCTTTATTCTTCAGAAACTGCTTGACGAGCCCGAGGCCTATTCCTCGATTTGCGCCCGTGACAAGAACAGAATACGGCGCCATCAATTGCCTATGTTTTAGATATGTACTTCATTACGTGTTGCACAAAAACTTAGACAATTTGTGACGGAATAATGACAACGATTTATTTTATGATAAAGGTTGGCAATGTTCATAATTCGCAAAAAATCAGCGAAACATCCCAGTTTACATTAGAGATGTGCCAGAACCATGCCTCTTAGTCTGAGAACAATTTTTATCACCCGTCTTCCAAAAGAGAAAGTCTCATACCACTCCTGAACATAGGTTGCAGAATATCGGTT